GTTCTGTCTACCTAGTTTTACTTACAAGGCTTGGGTCAAACTGTAGTGTGTTTTCAGACAGATTCTAACAGTGCTGCATCTTCCTAACTAATAGACCAAACTGAGGTCCGAACCCAGGTATCATGTGCACATATTAAAAAGGTAACAGAATGTACTACTAATACACAATGAATAAGCATTAATTTTTTCACGGCATACATTATTTGCAGTTATGTAGGTGACAAAGTGTCTTGGTGTACAAAATTTTAATAAGCGTACTACACCGTTTTTCTGGAGGCAGGGGTAGCTAAGTTAAATGCTAGCATAGTGATTGGCCAGTCTTCCTCTTTCTAATTTTTATGACTTGTTTAATATTATACAAAATAAATAATCTGATGTACTAGATATTTTAACCCATAGTGCTAGTAAAAATATATAACTTAATTTTAGAGTTCTTAAAATAGCTTGAAACATTAGTTACTGCGGTATTGTTCTGTTTCTTCATCAATAGAGTAACTCATATAATTACGCACTTTATTTATATACTTCTGCAAATATTAGGTTGGTGCAAAAATAATGACGTAATAATGTCGTTTATGACGTACTTTTCTACGTCAAAAAACGACATTCTTACGTCATTATTTTTGCACCAACCTAATAATTCAAAACGATGTCGTGTTCGTATGAAGATGAATAGAGACGCTGATGAAGCCAGCTGTTCAAGAGGCGAAATTTACCCAAATTTAGGAACATTTTGTTAGAAACAAAGAAAAAGGAACTGACATCTCCTATATGTTAGTGATTGTCTGGATAATCTCTTTACAGATGAGAAGTGAAGCAAAAGATATGTTTCTATTGACACATGCTGAGAATGGATAATTCTATCGCGATGGCTGCTAGTAAACAGTGAAGGTTGCAAATAAAGAATAAGCTTTTTAAGAAACTTGTACGTTACACCACTTTACTGCGCCTAAAACGCTCGTTTGTGGGGGTGGGTGGCCACTTTAAGTCTATAAAAAGGCAATCATATTCTCTCTTTCTCTTTTTAACACTTTCTTCCAGATGTAGTCGAACTTATATAAAGAATGCTGCCGACAGGGCACATTCGCTTCCTTGGTCCTCTGTTATCTTTTGAACTCTCTCACACACGCATATACAAGTGTCTATCACACACAAGCACATTCTCAATGCTAATTTCAGCGCGTTTTCATTTCAATTGTGTACACATGTAATTCCTTTTTTTAATAACATGCATTGTCGTTTCTTTTATAGTCATTTGTCTGTATAATTATTATTTTTTTACCTGGACTCACATGAGCCCGCCAATATTACTTGCGGGATAAATGTTCCTGGAGCCCATACATATTTAATATAAAATTCTAGCAAATATGCTAACTACCCAGGAATCCGATAATATTTGTCTAGTTCTAAAAATAGATATATGAATTAACCTTTTTTTTTTAACAACTGGAATTGATATTTGGAAACTAAGACCTCGTTAGCTAGTATTTAGTATTTCTTCTATAGCACTTTGTGGAACTCTACTTCTTGCTTCCCAGTCAAGTTTGATCTCCAAAAATTTAAATGCAATATCAACCATTATCTGCTGTCTTCTTTATTCTTGTTCTTTTATTGTCCTATGTCCTTAATAGTCTTTTCTCATATTCTCTTAACACTTAGTAACGCCTTGTGTTCGAGTGACTTTATTGCCTTGCTTGGAGTGAAATGATATAAAAAAAAAAGAAAGAAAAAAGTAGTACTCCAAATTTCTCTCTTGTTTAATGGACAGGAAATGGAAATGTGAGCAACCAGGGAGCTTTTAGGAAAATATAAACTACAATGAGACAGCTGAAATTTCTGGGACATAATACAGACCGAGCGAATTTAATACTCACAAAACATACCAAAGGCAAGAAAATCAAGGGGAGACAACGAGTAACCTACTTATTGAGTTTGTCTGAATGGATGGCGGAATAAGAAAAAAGATAGTAAAATGTAAAAAAAAGAATACTTAAATCAACAAAAGACAGGCCATCATGACTCGCCAAAATTCCCTACATCCTGAAGGGACACGACACACAAAAGACCCCGAGATAGAAGTCAAGTTTCAAAGATTCAACAGGTTAAAACTGGTTAAAAAAAAAAAAAAGGGTATTTTTAACTATTGTTTATAGCAACATTGGTAATTATTGAGCCACAATGAACAGAATAAATAAACTTCCTGAAATTGTAATATCCTTTAAAACTATAAGTTACTGACATTTTTACAAACAAATATTTATATGTAAAGGTGTGAGTTGATTTATGTAGATGCATTTCTTTTTCGAAACAAAAATTTTATTATTTGAAATCTTCGTAAAAATGAACACGTATCTGGTATAGATAAAGTTCATACATTTATTAAATGTCAGCACTCAAATTTTACAGAAAAAAAGGAAGTACGAAGTTGGTATGTAGTTTCAGTAAATTGGTAAATAGTTCAGTTGCCTGTAAGCCTAAAGGCTCTATATGTTTCAGTTTACTCTTTTGGAAAAGAGAGTTGTAGACTTGTGTAAACAAGATGACATTTTTTTTTATTTGACTGACTACAACCTGTTGCAAAGTCTTGAATTTATCTATTTTTATAAATTTTATCAACGACTGTAAATTCCCTTTTCTTATAGTTTATGGTCTTTTTTTTTGATTACGTTTGAAAATTTCTAATCTTATTTTAGATATTATTTTTAGTATTTAAAAAAAAAAACTGCCATTTTAATACATATTAATTTGAGTTTGGATTGAATGATTCTGCAACGTAGTTGGATTATTTAAAATAGAATTCCGTTTGGAACACCCAATGAGGATTAAACTCACTATTCATTTGCAACGGTCAACCAGACTGGCTTGTGTAGCTATGATCCCATGTCGAGGCACCATTAGATAATTTGTGCCAATAATTTTTTTTTTCGTTCATTTATTTTTGTCTTTGCGTCGTATTAAACCTGATGTATGTATGTGTGTGTGCGTAAAATTTTATGTGAGTACATGTACATATAAATGTGCGTAATTTTGAAAGCATGCGTGCGTGTGTATGCATGTGTGAGTTTATACACGTGCACATGTTAAAAAGATCTTTGACTCTTTCTTGCTGTGTCAGATAAACACAAACATAAAAAATATATATTTACTCAAACTAGACGGAAAGAGCAAGACTGAAATCTGAAGACACATTGGCATAGCGAAAGACGCCCCTTCCAAATGCTAAGCAAGGACGCTGTGAAATCAATGGCCTGGGCAACGAGGAAGTTTCAGAGAAACTGGAAACAAAAAGAACACTTATACTTACCATCAGAAAGAGACAGTTTAAATTTCTAGGATACCTAATGAGGAAAGAAGGCTTGGGAAATTTAACACTCATGACATGTTCAAGGCAAGAGCGACAGAGGAAAGCAGTGCATAACCAACCTAACGAGTTTGTGTAAATGGTTGTGATTAGGAAAGATAGCAAAAAGACAAAATTTGCTAAAAGATATAAAGGACAGGAAATAGCGGAGAGCCATGATCACCCACGTCTCAAAGTCGCACAGCACATAGAAGAAAAAGTATTTTTTATAAAAAGGGAAAATTGGCTTATAAGTAGATGGGGTTGCGCCATTCTCGGATTTGTGTCAGTGTTTGAGAATCGGTAAACCTATATGCAAATATTTCAGTCACTAGTCAGGCCAAATGTTTTTCGTTTTAATGCAAGCCTACAATAGTGTAAAATCCAATAAAGTTTTAGCTGGTTTGATTGGTTGGTTTTATGGCACTAACCCTTTTTGGGTTACTTAATTTCGAATTTTCTATGGGGCACCCAGTGAGAATCGAACTAACCATTCTGTGTTAATGGCTAACTAGACTCATCTGGCTAACCATTACGCCACAGAGAGGCGCCTATATGTTGATCTGCTTTTTGTGTAACTTTTTGACACACAAAATCTTTACACGCTAGTTATTTTAATTATTAAATTTTGAATATTCTTCTTCTATGGCCGTTTCCCTTGGTGATTATGACTCTCCACATTTTCCTGTCCAGCTAGATAGGTTATGTGTTGTTTTTCTCTTCCTCTTACCTTAAATCTGACCTGTGAGTATCAAATTTTAAAACCGTCTTTCCTCATTATGGGCCCTACAAATTTCAATTATCTTTTTCTGATTCTAAGTATAGGTATCCTTTTTTTGTTTCCATTTTCTTTAAAACTTCGTAGTTGCTCACATTTCTGGTCCATCCTACTGTAGGACCACATTTCTGTTTGCTGATGTGTTGTCTTCATCAGTGAAGAGACTGTTCAGAATTCACTGTCATATAGAAGGACTAATGTTACATAAGATTTCAATATTCTTTCCTTTGTTTCTAACGAAATTTTGAATATCATACAAAAAAATCTGATATTTTATGTTTATTTTTCAATCTTCCATGCATAATACCAACTCATTGGACATTATATTTAGAGTTTTTAATCTTATTAACTGACAAACAATCAATTTAAGTTATACTTTATACTAATATGTTTACATGTTCGTCACATTTTGTTGTATACACTTCTCAGCTGACATTATTATATTATCTATAACTTCGAGTCATTAACATTCCAAATTTTGTTTGGACAACTGAAATCTTTCTTTGTGTATATTCTGTTGTTAACACATAAATCAGGCTCATATGGTTTTCAACATCACGTGGTTTTATGCGCTTAACAAAGGTTTTGAGGGTGGGGACTCCCCCGCCCCGTGTATACTTTGGAATTCCCTGAGAGAAGAGTGGTGGTATAGTTGTGTTTGTGTGGTGTCTAGTGTTGCTGAAACAGACTAATCTAGTTGGTATATTAATGAATAACTTGTTTTTCTGTCGCCATTTGTTTGGGAATTTTTTCCGCCTTTCTTACAAATGGTACACAAAAATGCTGAAAATAGTTGGAGGGGGGGGCGCAACAAAACATGATCACAATATCAAATATAGTATTTTCTCTAATATACTCCAAGATCACTAACAGATTCTTCACATTGAAATACCAGTTCTAGTATGATCATAGAAGTTAAGCAATGTTGAGTCTGGTCAGTACCTAGATGGGTGACGGCTTGGGAATACCAGGTGCTGTAAGCTTGGATGTGTGGTTGGTGTAATGAATACTGGCTTGCAATTGTTACTTGTAGAACAGTGTTCCAATTCCAATTGGGTTCGTTATATTCATTTACGCGAAAATACCATTAGAAAAAGGCATGAATCCACCTCTTCTCATCCACTAAACCATTATTATCTCAAAGAAAAGGAAATAAATAAAAAATAAAATTAAGCGCAAAATATTTTGATTTTGGCATTAAATATCTTAAATAAAGAAGGTGATAGGCCGTTAAACAAAAACGAACAACAAAACAACCTAAGAGAATCCTAAAACTGATGAGAGCAATGAATCCCGCCTCACATTTACATAAGACACACACAGACACACAATTTTTCTATAAATATAAATTATTAATAGGTTCAATGTATAAATTTGTTACAATGAGAGATTAACAACAATGACTTGTAGCGGTGTGTGTGTGTGTGTGTGTGTCTTATGCAACTTTGTGACGGATTAGGTCATTGTCAAAATAAATGAATTCAAAACGCATGTGTGTGTGTGTGTGTGTGTGTGTGTGTGTGTTTTGTTTTACGGCATATCAGCCTCAATGGGTTATTTAATGCCGACAAGATTTTTATTGATGGCAATACATTTTTTCCGAAAATGTACTGTGGCCCTTTGAGGCGGGGGTTAGCTATTTGCCCATAGCTGAGACCCTGATAGGTGCAACCACCCCGGGTCAGGGTAGACCTGGGAACACCAGCAATTAAGAGGTGGTTCCACACTCCTCAAAATCTTCTGATGAAAGGCCTTACTGTCGGATGTAGTTTATCGTCATACCCAGGACGGGTGTGTATGTGTATACATGAATAAGTGCAACACGTGGTTGTGTTGACATTAAGTAATCGGCTTACTGGGGAGTGTCTCCCCGGATGAAGACTGGACAACATCTTGTAATTACTGCATTCTATGGGTTAGAGAGCAAGTGAAAAGGGGTTTTATGGGCCTTTTTCTTATATTGTTTGAATCTAACACTAACTAGCGAGCTTAAGTGAAGTTTATTGGCTAACAAAGTGGGTTAATCCCATAGACTAATGAATATTAAATATTTTTTTTTTATCAATTTAATGTAATAAAAGTTATGCGATGGATAGAAGATTGATTATTGTTATAGATATTAGGAACCTCAGTATACATTTTTTTTACCCTCAATAAGTAGAGAACTTTTACCTTTTCATTTAAGGGAAGTACTTCATGGCTTCTCTTTGACATATGCGAATTGCCAGTATCACCATACTTGCACGTTGCTACTATTATTAAGTAAAACTTACGAATCGTTTATTTCAGGAGTTGACCGTTGGTAAATGAAACCACAAATCGGTTTAAGTATCCAAACAAACCTGGGAATGACATTATGTTTTTCAAGGTTTCTATCTAGAATGATTCATGGCTGCGTGAGTAGCTCTCAGGAAAGTCAAATGTTTCCTCATTGTGGCTGAGGGTGATAAAAGTAGATAGGCATAAAAGAAAAAACAAAAAAAAAAAAAGTGAAGTGCCCAATAAACAGAAGCCGAAGTACATTTTTTTTTTTAAATTTATTAAAGTGTATCAGAAAATGTTTGGAAGAAAAAGGGACTTCACCATCCTCTTCAAAATATAGACAACCCACACGAAATAATCGTGGATAGTGTATAGAGAAAAGGAAGTGTCACATATGAGTAAACCAAATGTGAGAGACAGTAATAAAGACAGTGGTATTTAGCAGTTAAGACCTTCCATATATAAAAAATGTTTATGATATTCTGAAATTTTATCACATAAGCACGAAACTTCATGATTTGGATTTGTGAGGAGTAAAAAAAAGTTGTTTTTAGAAGTTAAAAAATAAACGTATAATCAGGGAAAGATAAAAAAACATATCCAAGATATTGGGATAAAAACAACAAAGATGGGGTTACTAGTTTGAATAATTTGTAGGAATGAAAATAAAATAAAAACTCAGATTAGGTTGTTGGGAATGCAACATCGCATTTTTGTGGGAGAGAATACATATCTACACTATTTATATTTTGACAATTGTCCCCATCTTTATTGTTGTTATCACAACGTTTCAGACGTTGTACCCACCTGGCCTTCCCCAGATGTATATCAGTCTTGGTAAACTACAGTTGATTCTGAACTTTATTTCGTCTACGTGGTTAGACTGTTTTTGGCTAACTGCTCATGTATTATTTTAGTTCGTAATTTTACTATACACATACATGTAGTTGGAAAATCCTTGGTTATTATAATAAAGGTTTCGATTTCTTATATTATTTAAAATTTTAATAATCATAGAGAATGTATTTAGCAATGTCTCTATAGCGTCAGTGTGAAACCTACCTTCACTGGTTAGTGGATTGGATTTGTACGTGGCAGATTTGTTTATCATTTAGTGATTCACTCGAATACATAGGGCATATATATGGTGTCCATATATTATGTTTTCTACGATAAATATATAAAAGAGATAGATATTAATAATGGTATATAATAAATTTTATGCAGGGGTTACTGTAGATATGAACAATATTTCAAGGGTTCCACAAAGGTAAAAAGGTAGAGAAACGCTGCGCAGCACAAATTCATTTAACGCGATTTGAAAAATTACGTCTACTTCCGGTTTTACATGTCTAATTATTCAGTTAGTAGCGAGATTTTCCTTGAAAGTTTAGTCCAGTTGTCGTGAAAGAGTGTTTGCCTAAGCGGTGGGGAGTGGGTGGTGGGGGTTAGTGATAAGAGGATGATCTAATAAGTAAGATGGAAACTGAAAAAAAAAGTGGATTCTTCTTCTATGTATCGCGTCACTTGTCACTTCAGGAAATAGACGACTATTCATTCTAACAGGCTCATCATGTAGGTGGCCCGCCGCCTCTTCATATCTCTTTTTCTTCCTATATGCCCTGTGAGTATCAAACTCGCTATGCCCTCCTTCCTCGATATGCGTCCAAGAAATTTAAGCCGTTTCGTTCTGATTCTGAGTATAAGTGTCCTTTTCGTTTTCATTTTCTTTAAGACTTCGTCATTGCTTATTCGCTTTGTCCATGAAATTTTCAGCATCCTTCTGTAGAACCACGTCTCTGTTGCCTCCAGTTTCCTCTTCATCTGTGTAGAGATTGTCCATCGTTCACTTCCATTCAAGAGGATGGATATCACATAGAAATTCAGCATTCTTTTCTTTGTGTTCAAATTAAATTTCCCCGTTTCTTAATACATTGCCTTTTGGAAGGCATCTTTCGTTAATCCAATACGTTTTCGGATTTCAGTGTCACATTTTTCATTCTTTGTTAAAACATCTCCCAGATATTTTAAACTTCTTGTACATATTTGATGTTAACATCTCTAATTCATAGTTTGCATCTTGTGTCTTTTACCTTGCTGATAGCCATACTTTCTGTCTTCTTCCAGTTGATAGTCCTTTTTTCTCGCTTTCCTTTAATACCTTGTCTAGGAAGTCCTGTGGTTTTCATTCTGTGTTTGCCACCAACACAGTGTCATATACATATCTTATATTGTTAAGATTATCCTCCCCCGATAGGGTTTTCAACACCCTTGGGATAACCGCAGTGTAGAGGTTGAACATATCTGAAGAGAAGAAACATCATTGTCTTACTTTCCCTTTCTAAAAAGACGGTTAAAGAAATCACTATGAAAAAAAAATTCAATATTTAAGCTTATTAAAGCCATTTTTATCTAAATATCGATCCTATGCAAATAAGATTCACGGTCTACAAAATATTTTGGAAAAATTCCTTATGCGCTGTGACTCTTGTAGGCATGAGTGATCTTGGTGCTCCATAACTCTTATCCTTTGTAGATCTTAGCAATGTTTGTTCTCTTCCAGTCATTGTTCTACTCGTTAGGAATGTTTCCGTTTTTCTCTACCCATCTTGTTTTTAGTACGTCCTGTGAGTGCCAAATTTCCCAAAACCGTCTATGTACCAAGAAATTTCAACTCTTCCTTTCTGATCATAAGCAAAAGTATTCATTTCGTTCCCATTTTCCTTAGAACGTCTTCATTGTTTATGTTTCGTCCATAGTATTCTCGGAATCCTTCTGTAAAAAAAACACATTTCTGTTTCCTTATATTTTTTCTTCATCTGCGAGCAAATTGTTCAACGTTTACTGGCATCGAGGAGCATTGATATTATTACATAACAGTTCAGCACTTTTTCCATTTCCATTGTTTCTAACAAAAGTTGTTTCTGTTTCTTAATACTTTTAGTTTTTGTAAGTATTCCATTATTACTTTGGATATATATATATTATATATATATATATATATATATATATATATATATGTGTGTGTGTGTTTACCATTCGTCCATGGTTTAAATATTGCTACCATATATGGTCTGGTGACCCTAATATTTACCTAGAACTCATTGATAAGATCCAAAGAAAATCCTGCAATATTAATTATTCTCATCTGGCGGCTCGGCTTTCATGGTAACTGTTCGCATGAGATCTTTGCTATGGTACCCAGACTTCAGGAATTTTTTTAGCGCAGTTCTAGACTGGTGTCGAGATCTTATTAATAGATAGTTGATCTGGTTAGATGTAGCCGTAAGTTCTATGCTAACAGTTTCTTTTATTGTACTTATCGCTCGTAAAAGTTTCTTCTGGCTCCATGATTCCCAGTCAACTTTAATCTTCAAAAATTTAAATGCAATGACAATTTATCTACTGTCCTCCTAATTACTCTTTTCATTCATCATTACTGTTTCTGTTCCTAATTCCTCCACACCCTGTAATCCCTTGTGTTTTAGTGGCTTTGCTGCCTTGCATAGGAAGTAGATCACTATGTTAAAAATACACAATCAACGTTTATTAATTTTATCATTCTATACACCTAAAAAATCTTTTAAAAACATTTTTGTAAGTTTATCGGTTATGGATGAGTTGTTTATCCTACAAAAAAGTCCATTGCAACCATATATCATTATAAGTGTTTTGGGTGTATATTGATTAAAATGATCAAAAGAAAATACAAAATAGAT